GACGTACCGCCTTCCCCATGATGGTCTTCTAACTTGGCGTCCTTGCGGAAGCTGAATAAAGTTACTGTATTTCCTTGGAATCCTACTCAGGATATGAAGATATTCAGAGCATTTTCAAGCTTCTCCTACTGTCAAGAACCGTATCGAACTATCTGTGAAGCAACCTACTGAAAAGCCTGGCGGTCCAAAATCTTCCGCAAGCACTTACCTCATCGTCAGGTCTTCCGGTTCGGTGGTGGCACTATTCTCCATCTCGTCCTCTTCATCCGGTCCCGGTGATACGCCGCTCAATCCATTGGACAAACCAAGTAATTGTTGCTGCAAAAACCGCTACTAATTGAAAGCAGTAATTAAGGTCGGCTTATTCACATGGTACTAGAAACCATAAGCATGGGTAATTGCCTGTAACAAGGTAGCCAACCTGTAACGCCAACGGATTCTGTTGCAGTGCGGCCAAAAACGGTGGTAGGACGTTCATGTTGAAGGCGGAACGAAATCCTCCAAGGCCTGAACAAGGATGGATTTTTTTTAGTTTCACACTGGTACCAAAAAAGGTCCCCATCTGTTTAATGGATTAATTCGTATAATTACATTCTATAGGTCTAGCAATGACAAAGAAAAACAAAGCGGAAACCTGATCATAACTCCTAGTAGGTGCACACCTTTTTGTATACTCGATGGCATAAGGCCTAATACTTTGGCACTGGGTCTTAAATAGCAGCAGGGGTGGTATATAATGAGAAAGTGGCGAAAAAGTGCAGTGGAACTGTCAAAAACTGCAAAATGGGCCTTTGTTCTACACGACTCAGAAAGCGATTTGGGACGAGTTTCCCGTTGGCTTTGGGCCAGTAACCGCTAGATAGCGTATATGTACCCATAAATTCATGCAGCGCCGTAGCCGCTTCATATCATTCCCTTCGCTTTATGTTGTTCTTCGCAAATGAAGCGATACGAGCATCAGGAACGGTCGTCCTCTTGTGTGGGGTGGACGTCCGGGATCGGTATGTTGCAGCTTGACAGGAGCGCTATAAGGGCACCTTCCTCAGAAAAGGCGCTACGCAGCGCCTGCTCAGGGCGCCGAATTTCGTCCTGCTGAGCGTATTGATCCTAAACGTCTTGGAGATTTATCGTGCCACTTGTCTTCAGGTTAACAATCTGGAAGTCTTCGCTATTGATCATACCCTTTTTAGGATGCGGCACGCATTTTACTTCGTAGCGGCTCATTGAATGCGATGTGGCCTATACAATGAATTGCGGGGGCCATTGATGTACAAGTCAGTGTTCTTATCCTCCCAGACGAATCTGGTACCAATTCACCGTCTCCGGAGGGTAGAAGGCTCGGTTTGCCTGGGGAATCCACCTTGGTTGACCTTCACATGCGCGTGGTAATCGTGCCACTTGCCACTACTTGGAGGTAAAGGTTTTACTGCGTTTTTAGTTGTGTCACATGAACCCCAAGAAGAGCACGGTCTCCGACAAGGTACCAGCCAGCGTTAAACATCTTGCCATCAGCCCTTGAGCAAGGTGGTATTGCTGGAGCGCTAGCCCTCTACAAAAATGACTGCTTATAATTTAAAGCCCATAGATAAAGGAACTTTCAGGGTCAAATCTGGGCACTGTTGTAGAAGTTCTGCTAGCCAAACGAGCGCAGAGTTTAGAGCGGTGCTTTGACAACGGCATAATGTTATATTTACAAAGCCACAAACTGTCCTTATACAAACCCGATACTTCGTGGTTCGGACTATACTTGCGAAAAATAAACCCATGTCAGAGAGGCCAATCGTGATGGAAGTTATGCCGTCGGACGTGTTTTTTGACGCTGATCTGCTTTCAAGATCTGCAACCTGATTAGTTGCAGAGTTATGGAGTTTTTTTTCGGCGTTCTTCATTTAAAACAGCGCTCAAGGTCCTAATGTTAATTGGTCTACTTCTCTCTATTAGAATAGTTTTTTCTAAGCAGTCAAGAACCTTGTGAAACTCGTGATCACTTCATTGTGAGAAGGAACCCATATGGATGAAGCACTTGCGCTATTCAACCGTCAAAACATTACAGTACATAGAGAGTAACTGTGACTTTCAAATCACGACATCTAAAGAATCATCACGACATAATGAGCATTGCAGTACTGTAGGGAATAAATGAAAACAAGTAAAACTCTCTTGGAAACTCTTACCAAGACTTGAAGTAAATCGTTGAAATGCCTTCTGTTGTGCTTCAATATCGAACGTATTCGACGGCGTCTCTGGTGA